GACCATGCTGAATTACGTGCGCCAATTTTTCAAAATAAGGATAGTTTTCCATACGCTTTATCTCTGAAACGAAATCGGTGAGCCCCATTTTTGTTTCTTTTTTGTTTTTGTTCGTTTGTTTGTTTTTTCTTTTTGCATTTCTGACACAAGTAACTCATTATCTGACTGTAGTAAAAATTTTTAACAAACCTATCGACTGGAAAATTTTCGCGCGAACGTCCTTAAGTTAAAAGAGCTCAATAAGGATTAAATATTGCTGCACACAAGCAAAAAAGCCCGTCATTGGACTCGAAATTTCATTCATTCATTCGTTCATTCATTTATTCATTCATGGTATCTTTATGACTTTATTTTGACTGGCAGATGTTTTCTTAATTACCAATTTGTTTTATGTGTCTACATGTCAACCTTTAACTTTTGTTGTGTGCATTATGTTTTTATTTTTATTTTGTTATTATTAATATGCAGCATTTAAAACCTTCTGCATGCTATACAGGGCATAGTAACAGGGCGCGTAATGTAACCTGGGAGCTTTTGTGTGAAAAATAATAAAACCGAATTAAATAAGACGGATCTAACCTTACAACATATTTCTCAGCTGTTCTTATTTTGTCCGCGTCATACATTTTTCCTATAAATGCTTTTTCCTCCTTAATAAGTGAATTATAGGTGCGCATGCGTAACATCAACAGCAACATACAGGCCCTGGGTACGAGATTAAGTCACTGATCATTATCTCGCGGGCTAACAAATTGGCTTCGCAGTGAACAAGAACAACAGCAAAGACACCGACAAAACAGAAGAATACGAAGACTTCAGAGGAGGAGAACTTTTGTAGGGAACTAAGCGCCAGAATTTTTTGTCATAGCTTCGTGTTCGGTGTCAAGCTTTCGCGTAATTAGTTTCCTTTGTTTTGTGGCCTTTTGTACATGTTGTGTTCATTTGCATACTCTATATGTTCGGTTCGCGCGTAATTTATTTAGTTAGTAGCGGTATTAATTTCCGTAAACGTCTTGCTTGGATTTGCTACAGCTTTACAGTTCGTCTTTTATTTTGGGATTCGTCACATTCGTCTTGTAAGTTTCTTCGTTTATTTCGCTTTCCCGTTTCCTGCATTCTTCATGTCCGTTCGTTGTTAGTTATTTTATGTTCATTCCCGTGTTTGTAATTTTGTTATTTCAGTTACCGTGTTCAATCTACGCTTGGATGGAATTAAATTTCTATGGAAAGATTTGGATACGTGTAATAAGCCTGTGCGACAATAGGGAAATTAAAAAAGCACCAGCTCGACAATAGCGTGACAAGCGCCGTTGGAAGTTATTAATTGTCGTTGCAAAATGTTGCTAATGCAATATGGCATGCAAACGAGGTTGTATTAATATAGGAACCATTTATACGTGTTCTTCACGTCTTATCTAGAACGCGAACGAATAAAGGTACAGTTCGCTTCCTATTTAGATCTCGTGTTAGGTAAGACACGTTTTATTTTCTCCAGTATAAATGGCCCTAATTTACACATTTTAGTATCACAATCAGTCCTATAGTTTTACTTACGAGAGACACGTCAATATTTCAGTCGGTATTGCCGTCTCACCGTACCAGGCGTGATTGCTTGAAAACTTGCCATGACAACGTAACACTGAACTGGGTTCCTAACGTACGCTTCAAATTTCAGGACCTGTTCAAAACTTTACAGAGGTTAATCCCCGCTAATCTTTCACTTATTGGCATTTGCACAGTTCAGGGAACTTTTACTTCACACTACATCATTTCTACGAGCTATTTAATTTAAAGGGAGCTTTATGGCAGGTAACTGCTGGGTTTGTGAGTTACTGCGTGAGCTAGCTCAAGCGAGATGGCGAAACCGCTTTCTGAAAGGTTTAGGGGTTTGAATGAAGAGCAATTTATCTAAATTCTCCAGCTTTTTCTTTCCTTGATACTTTGGTAAACTTCTTTAGTTTCTGAAAGGAGTTCACCGCTAAAAAGTCGAAATATTCAAGTAACTCGCCGGCAAACAGAAAAAAAATCATTGCCTGCTGTTATCCACGTCAATTCTTTGCGCGTACTAGGATTTTGAAATAAAAACACAGTTTTAAATTTGCAAAACATGTTTCAGATGACCAACTTAACTGATCCATCTTCAGTTTCAAATAAAAAAGAACCGCGAGTCGGTGAGATACGAAAGCGTACTTACATAGAATATATGAACACTGAATAAGAACATTAATATGCATGAAGCGCTGGAAAATACAGTGGTAGAAAACAATGTGTAATATTGTAACGCAGAAAATTAAAATGATTGACTTGCTTGTATAATTCCTTGATTTTCAGTTAAAAAGACGTTGGAGGCGGTGTCAAAGATTGACAAGCAATTTTCTGAGCACAAAGCTTTCATGTTTCTGCCTCATTGATGTGCTGAAAGATGTTTTTATCCCAAAGTTATTTCTTGGCTGCTACTAGTTCGCATACTAGGAGTTTATATTCTAATCAAAATAAGAGTTCTCTAAAACCTTTTTTTTTTTGTAATCCAATCTGGTGCCTTTTTACTGAATTTTCGGCGCATATTTTACACGATTTTCAAACTTAAATATCCCCGGAACCAATGCAGATATTTGCAGACAGTAAACGA